AGAAAACAACTTCCTTGCAATACTCGATACTTTTTGGAAGAAATGACTATGAAGTTCGATTTTATCATCAACATATATTGAAAGCTTCAAGTCCTACCTCATAGTAGATCTCATCCACTTTATCCCCACCATAGTAGACATCCAACAGATTTGGCCCCGGTTTAGTCGGATTAAATTTCACCAGGTCTCGAAATTTTCCACCACCTAACGCTTTCGATTCCACATCTGAATACACAAAGGTGATATATGCACGTAAATTCGCAGTTTTTTAGTGCAATAAAACTCACCGAAGTGCACAGCTGTAGGGGATTTCGGCACCACAGCTAATCGTGCTGAGGGTTCGCTCCGATTCCTGTCATAAGAAACAATGCTCCAATCACCGATAGGAACTTGAGCGCAGGTCAGCTTGTCTAAATATACATATGCAATTCTAGAGGATAGAAGTCGTAGATGCAGCCAAAACGTATTAATGCTATATAACTTCATTTTATCACTCGGGTACTTTTATGATGGTAAAAAAACTTGGAAGGGTACTAGTAATCGTTGCTTGCAACATAGATTTATAAAACTAAGATGTGACTATAACTGTTGATTCTGAATCTGCTCACACTAATTGCGATATTCTTTGAACAATTACTTTTTTGCAATAATAATTTGCATTGTTGCCGAGGTACAGAACGATCGATATGCGACTTCCTTGCTCTATCGTCTACCAGATTCAAACAAACCAGTCCTATAGCTTTTTTCATTGCCTTGATCATATTTTCAAAACATAAACTAGTCCAAAATGAGGATTTTATTTAATTATTTTATTTGATTCAATCATCGAAAATGTGCTAATTTAATTAAGAAAAACTGCACATAAATTCTCTCAGAAAACTGTTATCGCAGATAAAGAGCACAGATTTGGAACCAGTGTTTACTGTGTGTTTTATGATAAACGTCATAACTTAAATAACATCGTCACCGAGTATCACTTCCTCTTTAGAGGCCGGGTGGGGAGGAAGGCCATAAATGCCTTTACCATAAATGGAACAGCCATACCTCATTCATTAAACATTCACAACGTTTCTATCTACTTCTATTCTATACCTGCGAATGGGATCATTTCATAGAGTCAAGCACGAAAACATGTGACCACGTGACTTTGCCATGAAAACAGGCACACTTTAGAAAAACTGGAAACAACCCGATGTTTCA